CTGATATTTGATACAGGAGACTGAATAGACTGAATACAGAATATATCTTACATATTTCTGGCACCTATTTATGCCCCTGATGCTTAAATATCTCACTGATAATCTCAAAGTACTTCAATTGCTATCTAAATTTCTTGACCTATTTTTCCATTATTTGCGCTACTGTTTTCAAGCAATAGGAAATGCTTTCTATTTGTATCTCACTTTAAAAGAATCAAAATACAAGAGGTGGGGAAAGTAGGCATTCAGAATGTGAATGTGGGAAAAATCTTGAGTGACTTTAGAAAGTCAAATGTATTAAGGATGTGGTATCCTGGGTAATGTCTACAGAGGAACATAAAAGTAGGATTTGAGGCATTAAAAGTTTTTAGAAGAAAGTAGGAGCATCTGAAACCTAGGAAATCTTTCTTAATAAAATAGCTAAATGTTATAAAGTTTAGACATTTATAACCCTATATAGAGTGCATATTGCTAGACACTGTCTCCAGGTTTCTTTCAGTTATAAAGTTCTGATTCTCTTCCAAAAACTGACAGGAAATGTTTCTTTACCACAAGAAGTAGTTGTTGTTGTTAAGTGCCGTCGAGTCACAGGCGACTCTTAGCAACCCTATGAACAAAGTCCTGGACACCTCCTGTATAACTTTAGTCCTTTCTCCAGGTTCATAGGGTTTCAAGAGGCAAGCTATTATGGAAGTGGATGCCACTCCTGCTTCCAAGCTTGTTTTAATCGGGAGCTTCACCAAACACTGTTCACCATGGGTAACAGTATTCGGCTTCACAGCAACCATGAGTTACCTCTGTACAGCAAGTGGACATAGCAGGGTTACATGACTTAGAAAAATGTTTCATCAAAAACAATTAAAGGCTGGCCCAAGGGCCTTAGGCCCTCGGGTATGGTGGGATTTTAAGCTAGGGCCTGGAGCAGGCTCCTCAGACTCAACCCCACCCTTAATTACCCTTACTCTAGGGGTCAGGGTTACCCATCGTCTTTGAAGGCCAAAAAGGACAATAACACACAATGCAAAAGACCCCAGAAACTTCCCTTGCCTGACTGCCACCAAGAGGAGTTGCCAGCCATCCCACCCGCTTAGTCGGCTGGCTTCCAGAGTGGAGGGGAACTCTGTTCCCCAAGCCTCTTGGATTTGAAGCTAGGCCTGGGGCAGGCACCCCAGTAGAGGATCTAAAAAACCAAGAAAATCAAAATTAGAGGATTAAAACTTTATGGTGATCTATGAGTAAAACATGAACTAACTGGATCCTGTCAAATTAGTGAAAAAGAATATGCAAAAAATACTCTGTAAATCTAAAAAAAATTTAAAAAATGTCAAATTTAACTCTTACAAATAATATTCTATGGAAATGGCTATTACTAATTTTTGAATTTTGAAAAAATCAAGCAAACAAGTCTGCATCAGTAAAGTTTAAGGATGCTTTGTTCAATAATTTTCTCATCTATTGGTTTTAGTGTTACTTTCTAATCACTTTTAACAACCAATTTTAGCTATAGAAACAATTTTTTATTCAGAAGATAGTGTTTTCATTCATAAAATTCACACAAAATCCTAGAAATTTAGAGAAGGGACCGTATAAGTCATTAAGCATGAACTTAAATTTTATCAGAAGAGTAACAAAGGTAAGAGAAAAGAGAGTCCATGTTGGCTCATTCTTCCACGACTGGATTGAGTTTAGTCATGAACATGGATTCTTTAGTCTGGTACAAATCCCTTTTGTCTACATTGTACTTAAATCACATCTGTTTTAGTACTAAATTTTGCAGATACTGTCAATGATTTATGCATTTTTTAAATTATAATCTACAATCAGAAACCAATGCAGCAGACACTCACTTTGGGTGTAAGTTAATTACTTATTTTTCTGATCATTAGATTATTTTCCTTCAACATGAATTAGAAATGAAATGCCGTAACCATTACTGTAATTTATGTGTATCACATTTCAAACCCCATAGTATTTAAATTGGGGGGGGCGGAAATCTGCTTACAATGGATTAAATTTTTAATTAGGACCCTTAACCGAGTCTTAGCTGAAAAGAAAACAATCAAACAAAACAATTCATCTTAAAAAAAAAAAATCAAATTAAATCAGAGGCCTTCCTTTAAAATAGCTCAATGATGGGTTCGTATGTGTACACGTACATGGATAAACATATTTTTACCCAAACACAGAAAGCACGTACCAGATTATGTCCCAATATGTAGGCACAGCTGACTGTATTATATTGGATGCTGAAAATGGATGCTATTTCAACACGTGGATTCAGTCATTAAGTAGACTCAAGCACAATGAAGATGTCTAGTGTGTTCTTGTCCTGTGTCAACACGAATCTCTTCACATAAATTCATTAAAGGGAAGATTAAAAATGGAAGCTTGTTAACAGATGAATACACTCAAACAATGAATAATAGAAAAGCAAAATAGAAAGCTGGAACCACTTTCTGAACAATGCAAAACACTCACACCACTCCCCAATATTTTGTGCTCAAATTGGTCAGATTAACTAGATAAACTGCCCAAATCCTATTTTACCAACGTCCCTTTACAAAATGTATATTTTTACAACTAGCAAGGTATTCAATAGAAATTGACCAACACTATTATGCATGAATTACACTAGGTATTTGAATGCACTTTTTTTTTTAAAAGCAAGCTCTCCACCCAGAGTCTACCTTCCTACAGAGAAAATCCTAACATTTGATTTTCCAATATAATTACAGCTACTGATGATCAGTAATGTATTTACCTTAACACCCCCCCCCAACAACAACCACCTCTCATTTTATAAAGGATTGCTGTTAAACTTAATATTTAAGACAATAGTGACAGTTCAAGTCTTAGAAGTTACCAAGCAAAGACATCTGAGAGCGCTGGTTAGAATCTACCAGCTGGAGGATGGGCAGTCTCCTCCCCTGCCACTTACTGTCTCTGAAAACTCACTGGAAGGTCAGCTGTAGGTCAGTTCACCTCTCGAAAGTACTCAACAATGGAAGAACTCAGATCCTACTCTCTTAGCACCATCCATCACCTGGGAGGTGCCTGGCTACTGGACCACCAGTTGACTCAGACTATGAAGGAGCTAGTCTTCAGTCAATAAAAATCCAACTCAGGATTACCTATGGCCCATATTGTCTATTTTCTCAACTGGAACCAGTTCCTAAATCCCATGTGGAATCATTTAACATCTAGACATTGAATTCCTTAACGCATTTTTAACTTTTTTAACTTTTTTTTTTTTATTGCTGAGCTGCACCAAAAGCCTGCACCTGGGTCCTTGGGGATTAGTTTGTGACTCCTGTGCTTTGGTCAAATTCTTATCACCCCCAACTCTCATCCTCCATACACCAAAGCTGGAGGTAGTGGAGTAGTAAGGAATGGCGCTGCCAACCCAAATACGAAGGGTTGGCATTCACCAACTGCCCTGCAAGAGAAATATGGGCACTGCCCGCCCTGATATTTACTTGCCTCTGAAAACCCCTGAAAGGGTCAGCTCTGGACAGCATGCACCAGGGTATTCAAGTGGCCTAGTCTCAAGGGAATCAAATTGCTCATGCGAGAAGACACCCTTCTCTGGCTGTTCCAATCCAGCAGTAGCTGGTTGGGAGAGAGAGAAGCATTCTCCTCCCTTGCTATTTACAGTCTCCAAAAACCTACTGGAGGCTCCGCTATGAGTGGTTCCGACTCGATGGCAAAGAGTTGAGAGTGTATTGGGAGGAAGTCGGTAGGTCTGTTGCGTGTATGCGATCCATGCTATAGAATCCCAGCTCTCCCACTAAAATTCTTAGCTATTTATTCTCCACCCTCCATCTCCACTGCTCAACCTTATCAATGTGCAATGAGTTTGAAACATAGTAGGTGCTCAAGAAAAATACTTTGCATGAGTCAAGGGTGTATTGAGCAACACAGAACACACAAAACAGGCTTGAAAGACACTTTAAATTTGAAGATTATTTTACATGTGTCTAGGGGGAAAGAGATAAAAGTGAGTACTGGATGATCACCATGTCCGTTACTAGTGTTTTTAACTAACCTTTAGAAATTCCACTAGCATTAAGCAGCCAGCGAGCAGGGGTTATCCAGGCTGAAGGGAAAGGGATATCCACTGCTCGGAATTGGGAGGCGCAGAGCCAGAAGTGGGACAGTCCTTCGAGACCCTCCAGGTGCCACTCGCCCCCGTGGGCTCTCGGCCACCAGCCCGGGCCGCGTCCCTCCTCCGCGGAGCTCTGAGCAGGCCCGGTGGCCGCGCCTGAGGCCCGGAGGCTCTGCCGGGGCGCGCTCCGATTCTCCGGGTTTTCGCAGGAGCCCGGGGGGCGGAGGCGCGGGAGCCCGAGCGCCCCCAGGCTGGGCGGCGCGGGTGCGGACCTGCGGGC